AGTGCTTGCTGATTGAAGGTTTTCTGTCCTGTTGTGTATCTCATCTGCTGCTGCCTCTCATGCCAGACTCCAGTGTGCACAGGGCTCTGTTTAGTATCTCTCTGCTCCCACTGATGGACTTTGAACTGTTCTTTCTTCCAGCCCAACCTAATTCTTGCACAGGACTTCTTCCTTCAATCATGACATCCAGCTCTGTGGAACTCTTGCCTCTGCCCCCTGGGCTGACTCCCCAGAGTCCAGCATCCTGGCATGGATCTCATTTCCCATTGCTCAGCTGTTTTCCTTTAGCCTGGCCAGATGCTCAGGTGCCCTCTTCTCTGCGCCTTATATAGGTTTCAACATACGTTCCAGCAGTTCAGTCAGGAGCATGACAGAGCAATAAGAAAGCACTGTCTGAATTTCAATGGCTACAAGTGGGACAGCACACTTGGGTGATTAATAAGTGGGAAGGGGAGATCGGATTTGTGTATTTGTGGTGGTTATGTATTATCTTTTAGGTATGATATATGCTGCAGAGGCAGCAACTGCAGACTGCCACTGAAACTCTGAGGTAGAATTTCCCTATTTTGTAGTGTTGAATATTTCATTAATTTCAAATGCCAATTATGAATTAACTTGCTGCCTGCTAGGAATAATAGGCAGCTTTGAAGGGACATGCTCCCATTCCTCCAATCTGTACCACATACTTTTTGAATCCTTGTTTACATGAGAAGCCAAGGGTGGTAACTGAAACTTTCACCCAAGCAAAGGTTCGTAACAGGCTAGGGTGCAGGAAGCTTGCACTAATGCTTTCTGTACCCTGAATTAGAGGATATCAGTTTTTATGGTGCTCACTGTGTTTTGATTTTTTGCATTTGCATTGCAGCACTGGATTTTTATTAAAATAGCACCATATATATATATATTCCCCGAGAAACAAATTAATCTTTGTGTGCCTCACCTGCATTCTCCTTACTAATCCATTCCCTTGGTATCTCTACCAATTCTTGGAGCAGTATCTGACAGTATACTGCTACCTAAGGAGGAGGTAATTTCCCTCAAAACCAGTTCTCTGGTTTTGTGGCAGGTGGCCTCTCTGAGCCTTCTCTAAATGTACAGTCCAGCTAGTGATAGGCAAGAGCTGGTCCTATAACAGTCCTAGCTTTTCTAAAATGTTCCGAAGATGTGCCTGTAAAGGGCCATTTGCTGACATGGAAGGCACTGTCATAGTGCCAACAATAAATAATGTCCATGACAGTAGTTTCATGCCGTTAGACAAGGATAATTCCCAGTCTCCTGCACTTAGTTCTTGGAAGGCTCTCAAAAAAATTAAATCATTATTTTCATGTTCACTGGACAAAAAATTATCATTACATTTTTAAGGACTTTAAAACTTCCTCTGAGTTTGTTACCTACAACTCCTGTTTTTAGAAGTGTTTAGGGACCTGCACTTGGAGACAGAGCCACACAAGAATAATGTACCTTCAGGTTTTTAGCCTGTTGGGCTATGTGCTAGAGAAGGCACTTAGACTCTTAATTCAGGTTAAACATTTGTTTTTATTTACCAAAATGTTACTATAGGGTTTGCTAAAATGATGTGCTTGAAAAATTACTCCAAAGCAATTGAAATGTTACACTCAAGTGAAGCTTAATGCTTTATAGATGTAAAGGTTAATAAAACTGATCCCCCCCCAAAAAACCCAAACAACCCAACAACTTAAAAAACTTTCTGTAGCTGAGGAATCATCTGGATGGTATGTAGGCTGGGCACTGGTGGCTGGTCAGTGCTGGCCAGAATTCTGGGCATGGGGTTATCTCCATGCTTCTGCCATGGTGCAGCAGAGTGCCAGTCAGCCTGACTCAGGCTTTGCACCTGATAATTTCTTTCCTAGCTACAGAAATGATAAAGGAGTGTTCTGCTGCTAGCACGCTCTGTTGTGTTCTTTCTCCACTTCAGGGCTGCAAGAGAACCTTATTTGTGTTATCAAGTAAAGCAGCACTCTGAGAACAATCCCAGAAAGGCCAGGAACTAGAGTGTGGGTATTTTCCAAGAGCCAGCTAGGACACCTATAGGTGACAGAGGATGAAAAACTTTACTCCTTGGGCATGTCCTTTATTGCTCTGTCATTCCCTGGGAACATTAGGGACTGTGTTTAAGAGGCTGCATCAGTTTCAGATGTTATGCACCTCATTAATCAAAACACATCCTTTTGGAAGGCAGCTGATTACAGCTTAGGCACAGAAGTGCTTACACCTCAGCATCCCTTCTGCCTGGAGGAGGGAAGAAGAGGAAAAAGACCTTTAGTGCTATCACTGGCTACGTTCACATTATCTAATCTACAGGAGCATTTGATAATTGAGATTTATTTCCTCAGAAAAGCTTGTTCTACCAGAAATTGTGCTGAAAAAAAAAATTTAAATAGTATTTACACTGGGTAGCTTCACTGTCAAGTATTTCAAAGAGTCACAGCCAGTCTAGGTTGTGCCAGGAGCTGGGAGGAGAAGAAAAGCGGGTGAATGCTTCAGAGGATTCAGAAGAGAGGGAGAGAACAAACAAAGATGAAGGTGCATGTGCTGTCTGTGTGTATGGTGGAGTCACTGCTGATGGCTGCATTTCCTTGGAGTAAGAGCTTAAGTAGCATCCTGCTGCCTTAAACGGCAGAGTTTCCTTAGGCCAGTGACAGGTGACTTCGGGGAGGGAAAAGGTGAACAATTTGCTTATGAAAGCAGAAGCGCAGAGATGGGGTGAGGATTTCCTCACTGCATTCATTGCTTGTGTTTAGCCTCCCTGTCTCTCAGTTCACATGGTTTCCTTTTCCTAAGAGGTATGATTTTAAATGTTTTAAAAAACCAAACATTTTAGAAAGCATCAGAATCTATGCGAAAATATATGCAGTCTGTCATAGGGCTAAAGAGATTCTTAATGAAACTCTTTGGTTTCAAAGCCTTTATGCTAGGAAATAATTTGAACTAATTTATCAATCCAAGAGCTTCTTACATGTAACAGAATAAATAACCATCCCCAAAGCACAGGGCTGGACTGGCCACCTTTTTTCCTCCTTTTCCCCAAAAAACCCTCTTAAAGAACAAAAGGTAGGTAGGTGCCTGATTTTAGCCATTTTTGTTCCCCACTGCTTTGGTCTCCGTTATACGAAGTGCATCGTAGTCAGCAGTGAAAGGAAGGATTCCCATCTGGAGCTGTGCTTTTCCCAGGACTAGCCTCCTGGGAGAGACACGGAAAGTGCTGACTCAGGTGCCCACTGGGAAGTGGGTTTCCCCGTGCGGTAGGGAAA